TCCGTCGCAAAAAAAAAAAAAAAAAAAAAAAAAAAATTAGTTAATTCAGTCAGGCATGGTGTCTCATACCTGTAATCCCAGCACTTTGGGGAGGCTGAGGTGGGTGGATCGCTTGAGTCCAGGAGTTTGAGACCAGCCTGGCCAACATGGCAAAACCCCATCTCTACTAAAAGTATTTTAAAACAATTAGCCAGGTGTGTTGGTGCAGGCCTGTAATCCCAGATACTCGGAAGACTGGGTACCAGAATCACTTGAATCTGGGAGGCAGAGGTTGCAGTGAGCAGAGATCATGCCATTGCACTCCAGCCTGGGTGACAACGCGAGACCCTGTCTCAAAAAAAAACAAACAAAAAATACATCTGGGAATATAGGACTCTAATTTTGTATTTCTATTTTTAACTTATGAGACAATACTTTATCCATTATAAAATGCCACATTTTTCAGCCATATAATTAGTAGAACATATACTTCTCTGTGACTTAGTTTCCTTACCTATAAAATAGAAATAAATAATAGCACTTACATCATAGGTTGTTGGGAGGGATTAAATTAGTTTTAGCCAGGTGCTGTAGCATGTGCTTGTAGTTTTAGCTACTTAGGAGGCTGAGTGAGGCAGGAAGATTGCTTGAGCCTAGGAGTTTGAGGCTGGGCAACATAGCAAGACCCCATCTCTTTAAAAAATTATTTAATTCATGGAAAGTACTTAGAACAGTGCCTAGCAGACAGTTGGTACTCAATAAATGTCAGCTCTTACTAAAAGGAAGAATTTGCTTCTAAAACAGTTGACTAATGTGTTAAAGTTAAATCCTCTTTTTCCAAAACTGTAAATTATAGATTTTTTTTTCTTTTTGAGATGGAATCTTGCTCTGTTGTCCAGGCTGAAGTGCAGTGGTGTAGTCTCAGCTGACTGCAACCTCCACCTCCCATGTTCAAGGGATTCTCGTGCCTCAGCCTCCCAAGTAGCTGGGATGACAGGCGCATACCACCACGCCTGGCTAATTTTTTTGTGTTTTTCATAGAGACATGGTTTCACCATTTTAGCCAGGCTGGTCTTGAACTCCTGACCTCAAATGATCCGCCCACCTCAGCCTCCCAAAGTCCTGGGATTATAGGTGTGAGCCACTGCGCCCAGCCCTCCATTTATTGTTCCTTTACACATAGTACATATTTATGGTGATTGTCTTTTGAATAAAAATGATTTTTCTTGATTTTTTTTTATTTTTAAGGAAACTTTAGTGAAATATGTCGCACATAATTTTTTTGTGCTTTTTTGCCTGTTACATATGAATATATTGTTTGAAAACTTTTTAGTTGTGACTTTTTTTATGTGCTACTGTCGGGTATTATATGTATATAGCATTTTGATTATCGGAACTCTTTTTGACCCCAAATTATAATTTTGTCATTGCAGGCAAGAAGACAACAAGACCCTAGTCCTGGTTCCAATTTAGGTGGTGATGATGACCTCAAACTTCGTTAATAGCACAGCAGATGTGTGCCAGCCATCTTTACATACACATTGCTTCTAGTTGGCAGAAATAATTGATTAAAAGACCAGAAACTGTGATAACTGGAGGTACTACGGTCTATTTCTCAACCTTAGGCAGTAATAGACATCAAAAACTGCCGTGGTTTTGCACTATGATTATAATACCTGCATTTCTAATTTTTAAAGCATGTAGCCAGTAATAATTTGAAATTTTTTTTCTATGCAAGCTTACCTTGTTGGCATTATTTTAGTGAGTTGAAACTATCTACTTGTAAAGGTCTTTTTCTTCCATTTTAATTTAAAAGTTTGTCATTTTATTTTTTTATTTTTTTTTAATTTTCTTT